ACATATAGTCATGTAACCACCACCACTATGGAGATATAAGAATAGTTTTGTCACTCCTTAAAATTCCCTGTACCCTTGTAGTCAGTCTCTCCTATCACCTTCAGTCCCTGGCAATCATGACCCATACTTTTCCTAGAGTTTTAGCTTTTCAAGGATGTTATAAAAATGCAATTATATAGTATATAGCCTTTGAGTGGCCTCTTTCTCTTAGCATGATACAGTTGAGATTCATCCATATTGTTGCTTGCATCAGTAGTTCATTCCTGTGTATTTATGAGTAATATTCAGGTATAAAGATGCAGCACAGTTTGTTAATTTGCTCACTAGTTGGGCTGTATCCTTAAAGACTATACAGAAGAATAATGTTGATATCTGTTGGCTCAACTATACTGTATGGTGTGCAGTGATTTGAAATTCAGAAACTTTTTTGAGCAAGTGATCAAAGTTATGGAGTATCTAGAAAAAAAGATTATCGACAACATGCCATATACAATTAAGCCTTCCTACCCATTAATGGAGGATCCCAGCCTAGGAGCCATGATATACTTGGGATAAAGTAAAGAAATACTGGAGGCTAGGAGATCGATCAGGAGACTATCATAATATCTAGGTAAGAAATGGTGTACTTATATTGAGTCAATAATAGGGAGGATGAAGGGCGAGTAATTGAGTACTTAAATGAGAGAATTAATAGTGGTGAGTGATATAAAAGTGGAGGATTAAGGGAAGGATTTGAAGATGTGTCAAGTTTTCTAGCTTGGGCAATTTCAGAATTCATTCACTGCATAGGGAATATAGGGGAAGATTCAAGTTAGGGGCAATAGAATGAATGCTATATGATTCTCTTCTCTAAAATTACTGTGTGGAGAAAGACATTTACTGAATAAACTTGTATATATACTGTGTTATGATTCTCCCCCCACCCCTCCATTCCCCCAAAGTCCTACGTGGTATGTGGCAAGGTTAAGCAGGCTTTTTACTGCTATGCAGTAACTGCTTTACACTAATCTCCTTTATACTAAATTTGAGGCAACCATAAGTAGTGTTAGAAATGATAGTATCAGAGGGGATCTAATAACCAACATTTCTTTTCCCATCCACATTCTGAATCCATTGAATATGAGATAAAGAGTTGGCAGGTAGAGGCCATAATACTAGTTTTATTGTGAATACAGTGAACATTAAGGAATGTGGTCTATATGTATGGGCAAATGAGCTTCCTAGTACTGAATCCAAGAGTTGGAAGGTTTACCCACTCAGCAGCAGGGTTGTACCAGAGCAAGTCTTTTCTCCTCCTCCCAAGGGCAGAAGCTATTCTAGGAAGAGTAAGTAGAGTAGAACCTGTAAGTAGAGATGGCCCTAGGGAAAAGTGATTTAAGGAGGACTTCAGGAGTTTTAGACTATAATCATTGTGTCCCTCTACCTAGAAGGAAACATCAGGAATAATAAAGAAAATTTGTGTTCCTACAACCCAGAAATGTAATCAAATACTGAAACTTCTCAAAATAATGAAAGACAGTCATAGATTCTTGGGACAGAATGATAGGGAATCAGAAAGGAAGTGAGCTGTTTAATATACTAAATTTAAGAGTCCAGTAGTCCTATCTCAACACAAAGGTCCAATATGCACAACCCAAAAATATCCTGTTTGTGAAATGTAAAGAAGGCTATTGTTGCATTTTTGTCTTATGAGCCCTACTACAGTGTGACTGAGCTCACGTGAAGGCTCCTCATAACTGCTTTGCACTTTGTTCCATGTAAGTAGAGGCAAGTGGAGATGTTGCATGCCTTGTGATAATGATACGAGTGTGTACATTCACATATGATTCACAGGGTCATACAGGATTGGTATTTTTCTGCAGTGGTTCACTAAAAAAGTTTAGTCCTTGAAGCAATTGACCTAACTTAGGATCTCAAATTCTGAGGTTCAAAGATATGTTTAGTTATCAGTTGGACCAACTATGAGTTTTTAGCTCAGTAAAATGGCATCTCACTTATGGAAGTTGCCTCAGATCACACAAGGAACTAGTGGAGGATGAGACCACAAGAGCCCATGTCCCTAAATCTCGGCATTTTATTAATTTCATAAAAGAAGAATCTGAAGTTATTGTGACATTGAGAGATCCCAAATGCTTAGTCTATGTTTGAGTCATGTAAACGGCACTAATTAAATTTTTAAAAATGCATATTGAATCTTCTAAAGCAGGACATGGGAGAAAATGTATTCACAAAAGATCAGGGCAATTAGTTGTAACTCCACATCTGATATATCCTTCATTATGAAACATGTAATTTTTATTTATTTTTTATTGTAATATAGTTGGCATACAGTATTATATTGGTTTCAGATGTACAACATAGTGATTCCATAATTATATACATTACTAAATGCTTACCATGGTTAAGTGTAATTTCCCTGTGTTATCATACCAAGATATTGCAACACTATTGTTTATATTCTGTATGCTGTACTTCCATTCCTGTGACTTATTTATTTTATAATTTGAATTGTATACCTCTTTATTCCCTTCACCTATTTCACCCATCCCCCAACCCTCCTCCAGTATGGTAACCAATCACACATTAGATATACATCTTGTTTTGACTAAAGCTAAGAAGCAGAGTAAATGCAGTCATGTACATTTGGCACTTTGTTAATTCTCTGATATAATATTTTAAATAGTTTCTGATGGAATATAAATTATTTTTCTAATTAGGTAAGTTTCATGTGCTCCTTATAGGGAACACTGTGGAAAAATGAAGTTTATGGAGAGTTTACATCAACCAAAATTATACCATCAAAAGAATCCCTGTTAAAATTCTGGGATATTTGTGTGTATGCATGTGTATAACAACATAATTTTTATTCTTATTAAACAGGAATATATGTTCACTATAGGAAGTTTAAAAACTATACATAGAAGAAAATAAAAATTACAACTTGATAACTGCTTCAATAAATATACCATAATTAAAAAAAAAACTATTTCTCTAGTTTTGAACATTTAAGATGTTTGTTTAGTATATAATGTTTTAAGTACATAAATGATACTTTGGTTCTAGAAAAGTAACTATTAGCTATTAAACCTTAAGAAGAAATAAGTATGTTATGCATTGACTTTTCATATTCAGAGTTTTAAGCAAACTGGATTAGTCAACAATTTCAGTTTACAGAGGATTTAAGGATCTAAACTTGCCAGAGACCCCCAAATTTTGCATAGGGAGGGTGAGTGAGCAGCAGCCAGACTGTAGGCACCTAAGAACTTAGGAAATAAAGGCGGCACACACAGGCTTCTTCTCTTGTTTGTGCCCTGTGTCTATGTACGGCAGTTGAAAAATAAGAATAGCTTGGGGCAGGGTTCAGAATTTGGGCACCTAGTGCAAAGAAAAGTTATTTTAGGGATAAGTGGATATTTATACAACTTTTTACTAAGTGAGGGGGGGAATTAGTGGAGAGAGAAATTCCTGATGTCATAAGGTAATCCTAGTATCTCCATTCCAGATTTAGTTTAAAGATATAATTCAGTTAGAGACTTTGGATTCCCCCCTCTGGATTGCAGTCATGGGGCATTTCCTCAGCAAGTATTTAAACAGCAGTTTGTAGTCTGCATGCTGGAGAGACAAGCATAAACTCTAAGACAACATGAAGAAGTGGTTCCTGCCAAGCCTAGTAAATGAATAGTGTATTAGTGGTTCAAGAACTCTTCTTTTTTTAACATCAGAAGTCACCTTAGAAGCATTCATGTTGGCTCTGTGTTAAGTCACATTTATGGATCTTAATTTTTTTTTCAGATAAAGAGTGTGATTTTGGAATTATCTGCCTTCTGAGTTTGCATTCTTGCTTTGTAATTTACATGTTATGTAATCTTGAGCAAATTGCTTAAAGTGAATCTTCTATTTTGTAAATGAGCATAATGATACCTACATATTAGAGTTGTGAGAATTAAGTGGATAATAAATGTGCAGCATGGAACTTAATACCTGGTATATTATGGCCTCTCAATACATATTAGCTATTGTGATGAAGATAATGATTCCTTGGATTCCTGGTTTGTTCTTATTTACCTAATTCTTCTGCTCAATTAATATGGCATGGCAAAAAACAATTGAGAGATAGAGATAATGAGGCATTGGAAGCAAAACGTTAATTGATTTGAAGTGGGTGGGAACGAAGCAAATAGATGTACCAAGTTCCACCCATTGTTGGAATGAAGTCTTCGAAGCGATGCTGGTTTTGGGGAAGATAGCTTGGTTTTATGGAAAAAGTATTAAATTGTGGTATTGGTCTTGAATTTCAATTTCAGTTCACAAAGTTCATTTGTTTTAAAAGTGTTAATATATGTAAAGCACCTAGAACCATGTCTGGGACACAGAAAGCACTCTATAAATGCCTCTGTCATTACAAACTGTTACCATTCATCCATTATTCTTTCCTCATCTAACAAATATTTAGCGAGAGCCAACTTTGCCTGCTAGACACGGCAGGTTTAGGGTGAAACAGATCAACAGTTGGTTGCCATTGTGAAGACAACGTTCTGGAAGAGGGGAGATCTGTTATTCTAGGTCAGGTCTCTGATCACTTCTGGGTCTTAATGTCTTCATCAGTAAAATAAAGTTTGGGTGTAAAATTTCAGAATAGTATCAATTTATGACACTATTTACCTGGCTGACTTTATGCTGATAATTTTTTTATTCATTAAATATTTCTTGATACCTACCATATGTGGGCACTGTGCTAGGTGCTGGGAATATAGTAGAAGCCAGAGCAGACACAATACCTGTCCTTACAGAGCACTGGGAACAACACACAAGGCACGCGTTCACTAGGTAATTGTGAGCTTGGCTGGTGTTACTGAGGGCAAAAATACTAGGCTTGTGTTACTGATTTGTAGAAAAAAAAAAGAATGTACATTGTTCTATATAGAAGGATTGTTATAAAACATTAATCTAGCTTTTCCCTCCCATTTTGTGAGTTTATATTTTCATGTCTGCTTTAACAGGAGCAGTTGGACATCATGGAGACAACTTGGTAGAAAAGATCATTTCAGTGCTTCCGCAGCTTCCAGGACACACTAATGACGTGATGGTTAACATGGTAGAGCTCACTGCACTTCAGACCGAAGAGGAGAATCAGAATGTGGTTGCACCAGGCTGTCTTGCACAGTCCAAGTAAGACATGGTTTTTTTTTACCTCTCCTTCTTTCTCTTCCCTTTTCTTTTTCTCCTAACTGAGTGTTCCTGTAGAAAGGAAACAATGAAGAGTTGGTCTGGTTGAAAAATTCACAGTGAATAGCACTGAGGAAAGTTTTTTTCTTAATTTTGAAATAACCGTATCCACTGAACAACAATAAGCCAAAAGGTGTGGAATTTTACAGAGGTGTCATTGAGATGTAACATAAGCTGGTTCCCAAGAAGTGAGTCAATTTATGCATCTCCGTTTCAAAACTAGTTTCACATCGAATTGAGTCCAGCCTTACTCAATTTATTTTTCCCAGTTGATTTTTTCACTTGGCTAAAAAACAGCCCACATAGCTATGAAACAAAGCCACCTTTTTGTTAATGATAGGCTCTTGGGCACCAATGGGAGAAGCTTTTATTTCTGTATATATTTTTTCACATGCTTAGACATGTCAGGGAAAGAAGATGGTGTACTTTTTGTTAGGCAGCATTTCAAAAATAAAAGTACATTTCTCCAGGAACATGATAAAATGATACAATAGTTTCCTTCTCTACTTTGTCCTTCATCAACAATTCTTAAAAGAAAAAAATGTATTAGAAGGGGAAAAAGTGTCTGTGTGTCTGTTTCCCTCATCTCCATGTTTAAAATTTTTAAACAGAGCAGGACTTTAGACTATAGTTTCAGATCTTAACTGCAACAGATGCATTTGGAATTTCCTATCATATTGTAATTAATTTTAAGCTCCTGAAGTTTTCAGCTATTTTGTCACTAGTTAATAACATTTATTGGATGCCCAGTATGTGTGGGCCAGTGTGGGAAGAAAAAGGAAAATTCTATGCCCCATCTTTTTTGTATATTTATACACACAATAAAAATGTATGCCATGTGCTTACTTTGGCAGCACATATACTACAACTTAGGCCTAAGGATTTGCAGCTATATAAACTCAGAAGTAATTGTGATTGGAAATAGTTTTAGCTCTTCAGCCATGCTCATATTAATTATTAAGGACTTGGTGTGAGCCTTCTATGAACTAAATAATATGAAGGACATAAAATAATATAAAATATCACTCTTGCCTTCAAGTAACACTTTTCTTATTGGGGTGGTTATGATTTACACTCAGGTACAATGAAAAAACAATGAAATTATATGAAATCAAGACTTGTGTGTCTGCTACAGATTATAAATCCTACAAGTATTATTAATCCATCAGGTTAATCTGGTCTTTATAGATCAATGTGGGCCTTGTGGAAGTAGAAGATGAAGTTACTTCATGATTTAACTTGGGGAGACCTTTTTGTGCAATGCAATGGTTACACAAACAACAGAAATCAATTTGGCTGATTTCATCAAAAGAGGAATTTGTTAAAGTGGACTGAATAGCTAACAGAATCAAAAGAAGAACTGTTAATCAGATTTTGGAAAGGGCAACTGTTCCAGAGGCCTAGGGGTCAAGAACCCTGGAAAAGACTCTTCAAGGCCTTGGCATCAGAAAGACTGAATTTTAACTGTTTTCTGTCATTAATTATTCTGCTTAAGGTTCAGATTCCAAGGGAAAAGGTAACTTGGAATCTGTGGGGCTAACTTGGGCATGTGCCTACCTTTTGCCCAGGCTTGGGAGTAGTTCATACAAAGAATTGTGCCAAGATCTTACGGTAAGGAGGGTGCATAGGGGGAGTAGTTCTTCAAAAGAAAACTGAAACATTTATCAAAAGTAAGGGGAAGGGATGCTAGGCAGGCAAACAGTAGATACCCCTTAAGGATAATAGCACAGACTTATAGAGGACTTACTGGGCAACAGGCATTGTTCTGAGCATTTTATATGTACTAACATTTTAATCCTCTCAAAATCTCTATGAGTTGAGTTCTGTTATCATCCCCTTTTATAGATGAGGCAGGAAGTTAGGTGCTTAACCACTGTAGGAAATGATGGGGGGTGCCTATATTTGAATCCAGGTAGTCTGGCTATCAAGTGAGTGCTTACCACTACTCTGCCACCTCCACAGAAGCCTGAGATAATTACAGAAAAAACAAGTGGGCTTCTAAGAAGTTTGCAAAAAGAGAGAAGAGTTGAATCCAAAATTAATAGCAGGACAAGCAAGAAAGAGTTGAATCCATAATTAAAGAGATGAGTAGTATGACAAATGTAAGAGTCAAGGCATCTCTTAGATCTACACATCATATTTTGATAATGGCCAATTCATTTAACCTTGCCTCCTCACTCATTCTACTCCAAGTTTAGTCCAAAGCTTAAACTAAATGCCATCTCCCTTGGAATACCATTTCCCTTGCCAATGATTGCTTTGCAATGTGGAGGTGACAAGAGAGAAAGTCCTCTTAGGGCTTCTTAGTCAGGTTTCTTTGCTTCTAAAAAGATACTCAAGAAAGAGACATACTTTGCCCTTCCCCGTAGTTTCCTCCCGCAACTCCCAAGACTCCGATGTAAGTCCCCGAAACAGCTGCAGGCATCTTGCTCACAGCCGGAAGTTGAAGCCGGCTTCATAGAAGGTAGCATGGCCAAGGGTCCAATGGTATACTGTGTCTGGATCTACATTATGTAGGAGAATATATTTTCTTATTATTTAAGCCAAATAGAGTTGCTGTTTTCTGTTACTTGCAACCTAACTGGCACATCTTCTGTACCTCATTATTTCATCTATAAAATGAGGGCATTGGCCTAAGACTCCTGGGTTTATATAAAAATTCTTCCTAAATGAGCCCCTGCTGTGCCTCAGCTCTGTTCTGATCATTTACAATTAAATTTATTCTTATATATTTTTCCCTCCTGGTCTTTGTTTTCAGTGGGTGCCTTTTCTTTTCATTAGACTATGAGTGAGTGTGTGTTGTCATGGAATATGAGCTTTGAATGCCAATCAGGTATAACAGTGTGTCATAAATGTCAAAGGTGGTGATGAGTTCCAGGGGAATCTGAAGAAAAAAGCTTTAATGAGAGCAGCCTTGGTAAAATAGTGAGACCAGGAGTCAGGTTGCAGATGATAAAGAGATTGGTGAGAAAATTCTGAGCAAATAAAGGTGTAAAACAATAATTGGGAGAAAAATTGTAGTTTTGTTTTTTTCTTTACAATTGCTTGGAAGACTGAGGAAATAGTGCTGATTAACTTCTCTGCAAAAGAGGAATGGAATACATTATAGCTTTCCTATCATATACTGTACTTCCATCAAAATAGCAATCACGACTACCTCCAAAGAAATTTGAGTGTCATCCAAGTATGAGAGAAACTCCCCCACAACCCTGAAACATCTCAGTGAAATGATTGTGAGGATAAAAAAGTTAGTACTAAAATGTAAAACAGATGGGCTCTTGGCAATAAATAATGTGCCTATAGTGGAATAATCTTTGAAAAGCAAGCTCTAACTATGATAGAAGCCTTGATAATCAAAATTTATTGGTAATATAATTTTTATAAAAGGCCGTTTATAATTATGGCAATAAAAGTTACTACCAATGCAAATGAGAAATCTATAACTTAAATGCATTATAACTTGGCTTTCTAGTCTCTGTCCATTGGTCCCCGGATTATGTAGAATATTTTGTACCAGAAGGAGGCAGAATCCTTTCTATTCTTAAATTTTCCTTCTGTTGAAGTGGGTTTCTGTTCCCTGCTCCAGCTCTACTCTTCCTCACCTATCACCCTCCCAGCTCCGTAAGCACCCTTGACCTGATGTCCTACCTGCGTTTGCTGGGTCTGTGCCTGGTGCCCTGTCTCTGGCCTAACCACACCCAGGGTGCTGCTCGTTCTGCTTGGTCCAATGCCCACTTTTCTTCCTGTGGCTTTCCATACCCCTCCGAGTGAGAGCCAAAGACCTTCCAGTGGCCCACAAGATCTGTGTACCAGCTGGTTCCATGTTCCTCTCTGATCTCATCTCTGTCTCTCCTTATTAGTGCCTTCCCAGCCTCGCAAGCCTCGTTTCTGTTCCTCCAATAGGGTTCCCACTGTCCTGCCACGTGGCTTTAGCTCTTGATGCTCCTTCTGCCGAGATCATTCATACTTGCCCTCATTTCCTTTCTTCCTTCTTAGGCCTTTTCTGTTCATTTGAGCACTTCATATTTCCTTTCTTTATTTTATTGTTTTTCTCCTTGACACTTATCACTTTCTAGTATTGTATTTTTGTCTCTCCTTATCCTAGAGAGCTATGGAGAAAACTCTCCACTAGAGAGTTCTATGAGAGGAGCCACATTTGTCGGTTTTATTCACTGCTATGTCCCCACTGCCTAGAACAGAACCCAGCATTCAAGGAATATTTGTTGAAGGAACACATGGTAATGGATCTTGCCAGAGCAGGATCATGAATGCAGTGAGGCTGCTGGATGAAGACAGAATTTAGTGGAGCCAAATCAGAGCATAAAAAAGGCAAGTTTGGGGATGTCTAGACTCATAATTATTTAGTAGTTGAAACATTCTCATTGTGTTAGCAAAATAAAACAAAATTAGCCTACTTAGTTATACTTTTAGGACTTTATTTCATAGATGTATTTTGCACACAAGTAGAATGATATATTACATTCATTAATCACTATAACATTTGTAATAGAAAGGTTGGCAATAACTTCAGTGTCTATCAGTTCAGTAAATTGTGGTTATTCATGAATGGAATTATATTCAGCTATTAAAAAGAGAATAAAGAATGAAGAAGTTGTTTGTAAGCAGTGAGCTCAATGACATACCTCAACAGAAAAAAGCAAGGTGTGGCACACGTATTTGTAAAATGTGAAATAGATATTCATATTTGCTTGTGATGCATTAAATATATCTGGAAAATGTATAAGGAACTGATGATGTTGGCCACCTCTTGGGAATGCTTTAGGCTGGGGACACACTGAGAAGTTAGTGAAATGAATGAAGATGGAGGAAGGAGAAAGATATCTTTCTACATAATAGTTTATATTTTTTGAATTTTCAATCATGTGAATGCATCTTCTATTAAAAATAAATAGAAAAATAGAGTTAAATGAAAACATCATTTC